TCCTACCCGGGTTACCCGGGTACCCGCGGGTCGGGTTTTTAAGAGCCCTAGTTTCCTTCCGCGCGCAGCGCTACGTTCGTGCAGGACTTCGCCACGTTCTGGGTCGGCGTGCCGTCCCCCACGGTGCAGGTCGTGCGCCGCTCGGCCTCGGTCCCGGACGGCGTCAACGCGGCCCCCGGCGCGGCGGGCGGGCCCGGCGCCACCCCCGCGCGCACCTCCCGTCGCCCCACCACCACCACCCCCACGCCCTTCTCGCCCGAGCCGGAGCCCGAGGTGAGTCCGGTGATCGCGACGCACGAGTGGGCCGAGAAGACTAAAGGCCTCACTGAGAACCAAAGTGTGCAACTGTTCAACACTTGTAAGTGTGCAACTGCGAGTTAAATACCTGCAAGTGTTCAATTAGCTATTTGTGAAATTATAAGTGTGCAAGCCCTCTGTTGAACACTTCTCTCCCAGTAAAGCGTCCCCAATGAACAGGAGATTCGCACACTTAAAAGTGCACAACTCCCTAGTTGAACACTTGCAAGTATTCAACTTGCGGTTGCACACTTCAAAGTGTTGAGCAGTTGCACAGTTCGTTTATCAGTGCTGTTTGTGCATTTGGGACGTTGCAGTATTTTTCTTGGGAGAGTTATCTTCATGACATCTATCTTACGTACGCTTTTACACTGGAAAAGCAAGTGCTTATTGAACGCCGCACACTTGTTGGTGTGTGAATGCCCATCCGTATACTTCTAGGAGTCAATGATGTGTGACTTTTCCTTTGAAATTTACACTTTTGTACCTTAATGTGTACGAGTGGCGTTCACACACCTACACCTGCGACATATACACTCCTCCGTTGCCGGCATATCGCCCAGCCAGAGCCAGGATCTGAATTGAAGTACAGTGACGCCCTTCTTCAATCTTTTATTGTCAAAATGTTGTTCTCAGTTTGTAATGTATTTCTGTCTAGGCGCCCGCCCAGCAGGACCCGCTGTACGACGGCTGTGGCTCGCTGCGCAGCTGCTTCGGCGCGCCGGCCGGCTGCATCGCCAAGAGGAACTGCAACGCGGCCGTGGCCGTGGCGGTGCGCGGCACGCGCTACGAGTTCGAGATGAAGGCGCTCAAGGCGCTGTACGTGGCGGTCGGGCTCTCTGACGACGCTAAGATGGTGAGTGACCACCAGCTAACTGGGTGGTCTATGGTAGACTGTTTGAATCAAGCAGGCTAGCTCAAGAGGAAATAGGCTTGAACTTCGGTGTACGTTTCCTTCAACTTCGTCGAACTTCGGTGAACTTCGAGAACTTTGGTGAACTTCGGTGAACTTCGCGGAACTTCGACCGAAGTTCTCGCACTTCGACCTGGTCAAGAGATCTGAAAGCAAAATTCTTCCTCTGTAATCTTTGTAATTCGGGGCGTAGATACCTGCTTTGAGTAAGCTCGAGATTCGCTTACAGTAAGCACTTCAAATTGCTAAGAGCAGCCGTAACTATGTTCTAAAATATTTTGAACTTCAGCGAACTTCTATGATTTATTTTGAACTTCGGGGAACTTCGACATTTATTTTGGACTTTGGGGAACTTCGACATGTACTGTGAACTTCGAGGAACTTCGACGCTTATTTTGAACTTCGGTGAACTCCGTGAACTTCGATGGATTTCGGTGAACCTCGGAGAATTTCAGTGAACTTCGATAAAAGTTTACAAAGCGAACTTCAGTGAACTTCGGCCGAACTTCAGTGAACTTCGGCCGAACTTCAGTGAACTTCGGCCGAACTTCAGTGAACTTCGGCCGAAGTTCATGAACTTCGACTTCGGGTGTACACATTTTTGGAGCCTATTTCCCCTTAGGCCAGCTCCTCCGCGAAACAGAGATGCCAGCTTCACTTCGCTCCGCCGGCGACTCCAGGAGAATTAACCGTTTGAACGGACATAGAAGAAGAAAGAGAAGTTGCTTCAAGAATATGGTTGCCGGCCCACAAGCAAACATGGGCCAGCCAGCCATTTTCTTGAAGCAATTTCTTCCTTCTTCTGTTTTCGTTGCAGTCAAACGGTTAATATGCAGCAGCCCGATGGGTTGCCTACGCACTATCGTGCAGGCGCGGAGGGCGAGGGGTGAGCGGAAGAGGTGGGGGGAGGCGGCCGGTTGTCTCCCGCTGCCTCCTCCGCGCCTGCACGCTAGTGCGTAGGCAACCCATCGAGCCCCCGCGTATTCCCATTCTCCTCCGGTTCGGTACGGCAGGGGCCGAGCTTTCTTGGCCTGCCGGCTGCGTTTGACAGGCCTTTAAGTCACTATTCACAGTATTGTTAACTTAGTCTCCCAGGTGGTTCTGCAGCGCTTTAAAATTTCGCCGTAACATTCTCAGCTGCAGCATGCTACTTTACAAAAAAAGTCACTCCTTAATTTTACTAACGATTGGTTCGTGACAATGGGTGAGGGATGATTGTTTCGTCACGTCACAAATCTATGGTAAGAGCTTGTAAGATAAATATGTCGTCACATCACTGGAAAAGAGAAATTTGGTACGGTGGGATTAGGACCTGGGACCTCCGGTGTGGAAACAAGCGCTCTTTAACCACACGGCTACTGAGGCTATCTGTACGGGATTGCTCTGGAAACCCAAGTGTGTACTTGAATGCAGTATCTCCTGCATAACTATACATATATGCAGGAGATCCTGTGTACTTGGCAAGTATGCAGGGGATAGTGTGTAATTGGTCAAGTATGCAGGAGGTAGTGTGTACCTGGTCAAGTACACACTAAAACCTCCATTTATTCATGCAGGAGATGTAGTGTGTACTTGACCAAGTATTGTAGTGTGTACTTGACCAAGTACACACTACCTCCTGCATACTTGACCAAGTACACACTATCCCCTGCATACTTGCCAAGTACAGAGGATCTCCTGCATTCATGTAGGTATGCAGGAGATACTGTATTAAAGTACGCACTTGGGCTTCCAGAGGGCGCTGGCACGCGGAGCCTAGCCATGAGTGCTTATTTTGCTTCCATGGTTGTGACAGTTATTTTTTCACGTGAAAAAAGTTTCATTTATATCGATTGACGAACAGGTCATCAAGTGACGATTGCTTCATCTCAACTCTTGTGACAAACTATCCGTCACAATGTCTCTCGTTACATGACGATTCAGTTCAACAGTCTTGCTCCTTGTTAGGCATGAGAAACGAATGTAACAGTAAAGAATCGTGACTAAAAAAAATAACTGCATACTGCATGTTCGAAGCCCGAACGCAGCTGAAACAAAAATGTGTGTTGAATCCGGGAGCTATATGAGCCATGCGCAAGTCGTGGTTTTAGTTCTCGATCAGCACAGCCTGTCGTAGACCAGTCACCAGTGATCGTCCACAAGCTAGAGAGGGGAGAAAGTAGAGGGGGGGTAACTCGGTGCGGCAGGTCGGGCAAAACGTTGGTGATGAATTTGCGCGAAAGTGACCAAAATCTGAAATCACGACTTGCGCATAATTCGCATGGTTCCCCATGTCGCAGCGCAGACACTTTCGCTTGCACTCGAAATTTTAAGGGTCATTTTGAAGGACATCGTCCTTAACAAGATGCATTTCAGCAAGCTGCTAGGGACAAATTTGCACCGTTTTTAATAGGCTAAAATAAAAATTGTATATCCGAAAGGATATTAATGTGTCCTTTTCACGCTGCTTAAATGGATCTGGTCAAGATGTGCTCAAAAACTTTCTCATTTAGTGAGTGGACTGCCTCACCTTACCACCACCCCTCAACCAACACCCTATTGTGCGGGTCGCTCACCAAGGCTCTTTCGGTGTTTCAGGGTGGAGACAGCGTGGTGGAGTGCCAGACTGTTGGCGGCAAGGTGCAGGCGTTCATGTCCTGGAATGTCCCCGGCATCAAAAAGAATCAGCGTCTCGAGGTAAGTACAAGCATCGTCTGGTTCAGTTTTAACATGTTTTATTCATATTCTCATTACATATTTGTTAAATTTTACAAAACTATCTTACCAGGACCAGGATGGCATATCTTTGGTCAATGGAACATACAGCGACGGCACTATTTACTGCAAATTCACAAGGGATGAGGTCACGACTGTTGAAGGCAAGGAGTTCAACCTAGCTTCAAGAAACTACAACCTTTTGCTTGCCGCAGGCAGCCTATTAAATGGTATGAAGTTTTATTGTTTGGATTACTATGTCTTGTGAGACACTTGATCTTTTAGTGCGGTAACATGAATAATTTGTCCTAACAATTGTTCAGACAATGGAGTAGGATATCACGACAAGCTTGCTTCTGCCTCTGCGGAACAGCGAAATTTAGCTGATGTGAGTGGATTTTCTGAGGCCAGCAAGCTGTACTTGCGTCTCCATGGCGCTTTCATGTTAGCAGCATGGATTGGAGCTGCCTCAATTGGCATTGTTCTGGCACGATATTACAAACAAACTTGGGTGGGCAACAGGCTTTGTGGCAAGGACCAGTGGTTTGTGGTAAATATCCAATGAAACTTTTAAAAAATAACTTTTGGAGATGTGTACTTTTTTTGAAACAACATATCATCCTTTTGCCTTTGTTCTTTAGTGGCATCGCTTCTTTATGGTGCTGGTCTGGCTCCTTACTTTGGCAGGCTTCGTCCTCATTTTTGTTGAGCTGGGATCATGGACTGCTGACACTCGTAACCCCCATGCCATTCTTGGTGTGGTGACAACTGTGTTGTGCTTCGTTCAACCTCTGGGGGCCGCCATGAGACCCGCTCCTTCGTCTCCTAGGAGACCTCTCTTCAACTGGTTGCATTGGCTTGTGGGAAACGCAGCCCACATCTTAGCAAGTGAGCACAAATTGACCTGAAACCTGGGTATCGGTAAAAAGAAATGTATGCAACTGGGCCCTCCCGTTTTGTTTTTACAGTTGTAACTATATTCTTTGCTGTGCCACAGAGCAAAGCTCAGCTACCTGAGTGGATGGACTGGATTCTAGTTAGTTTTGTGGCATTCTACGTTTTTATTCATCTCATACTTTCTGTAAGTCATTTCTTACTTGTTAACATAACATACTATGTTTTGAAATATGTAGGTTATGATTCTAAAATTTATTTTATTATTCAGATTGTGGGTTGTATGAGTGAGAGAGAAAATCGAAACCGTGTTAATTCTTTTCCAATGAAGGACCTCAACTCTAGCAGGATGCCAATAACTAGTATGGATAGAAGTATGGATGCTCCGGTAAGAATTATTGTGAAGATGCAAATTTATTTTACGTAAGGTGTATCTCTTACACATCTCACATACTTGTTTCAAATTTTTCAGCATTCATCATTACGGCGCTGCCTCCTTGGCCTCCACATAGTAGTCATACTGTTAGTAACTGCAGCTCTTGTCATCATTGCAGTATTTGCACCAATTGAGGAAAAATGGAAGCAAGTTCTTGAAAGTCTTAACATATCATGAAACAGTACTCCCGAAAATTTTATCATGAGCTATTTGGAAACTTTGGTATGAATGAGGTTCAATTGAACGTAAATTTTAATTCCATATTGATTTTAGTACTAAAATTTGTTTTGAACCCTGGAAGCCATAGGACTTTGATAATTTTTAAAATAGATATGAACTTGATTGAGGTTCTTTAAAACTTGATGTAGTGTACCTGACTAACCAGCAAAAAAAAATTAAACTCATGCATGATATTTGTCTTGAAAGCTGTGGTATTGTAAAGTGAAATTGTATTTATGCTTTTGCATTGCCTATTTATTTTATCTCGTAAGTGATGTGGCAGAGGTGCTATCCTTAAACTGACGGAAGTTCAATGAATTGTAAAAAAACTTTCCTTAAAA